CTCGCTACGCCACTGACTTTACATATTATGTTTTATATATATATATATATATATATATATATATATATATATATATATATATATATATATATATATATATATATAAAAGAAGAAATATGATGTTGCTGGTGTGTAGCGAATAGGTAAGGCAATATACAGCACAAAAGTAGAAAACCTTGTTTTTACTTCAAGTGTTCTACGGTAAAAGAATGTGTAATTTGGACAATGCCTGGAAAAAACTCTGTCCCCAATTTCTTAATGAGTTGGGCATTAGCTTTGTATTTTTTAGCTGCTGACCCATATTGGCAACAACAAACTTCTATTGACAGATATTACAAATGGCATATAGCCATGGATATTCTGTAGTTTATCGAAATGTAATATAATCATAAACCATCTGTAACCTTATTGTTGGCTATCTTTTTATAAGCTTTTGTTTAGTTCAAAACGTTTGTTTGTTTGTGTGTTTGTGGCAAATCTTGTAATTCAATTTTGACCAACTTTTAAATCTAATTCAGCGATTTCGTTTGAATATTTTCAGATATGTTCTTCTCAGTAGCGTAGCGAGGGGGGGGGGGGTGGGAGGGCGCCAAATTGAAAGTTTGAGGGGGGGGTGCAAATGAAAAGTTCGAGGGGGTGGGGGGTGCAAATCGAAAGTTTGTCCCCGGGCGCCGGGAAGGGTCGCTACGCCTCTGGTTCTTCTTCAAGGGCCATATACAAATATCTATGTTTTAATCTACTTTGGACATTGGATTAGTTATTAAATCTAAGCCCTGGTCTCTAAAAATGTAAGAAATCTCATGCATTACCAAGGATTTTAAAGAATATGTGTTATGTTCTAACTTTCAGTGCATTTAAAATGTAGTTATTTTAAAGGATTTTATATTTCTTTTATTATTTTTTAAAGCCATGAATGGTTTTTGATCAATTAAGACAATAAACTTTCTCTCTTTTATATATTTTTCTCAGCCTATCGTATAACACGTTCTTTTTTTCCACGGTTGAGTGGTTTTTTCTCCATCAGACTGAGTGGCTTATTTACATCTCAGCACATTATTCAGTACATGCATGAGTTGTTCTTCTCCATCTGTCTGAGTGGCCTACTTACATCACAGCACATCAGTAAACAGGCTCCAAACGCATAACTTTACAGGTCATCCTGCTTATTTTTGTGATGCAGCCTTTAGCTGTAGGGATACTTTTATAAGCTACTACTATATTGGATGACAACATTCTCCAACTGAGTTAGGCTTTGTTCAGGTGAGTAAACCTTTATAGAAAGATACTAGTGATATTCTCAAAATGTTTATTACGACTAATCACTATCAGAGTACATTATGCTTGTATTATGCCTTTCAGACTTTTTAGGAAGGGGGGGGGGGGGAATAAATTTTCACTAAAGTTTTAGTGAGCAGACATTGGTTTAAATATATTTTTTCTATGTAAGTTCTATTTCATTCAGATAGAGGGGGGAAAGATGGGGGACTCACTAAGAGATGCTTGAAAGTAAAACTGATCTCTTTGATGGTTGATGACCTATCTCCAACACTGTGTATTATGTGTATGGCCTTATTTTTCATTCTATAGTAATTCTGATGCTGTCTTTTCTACATTCAGTGATTTTGTCGTCCCTAGTTTTTTTCTTCATGTTTAAAAAAATAAAACTATTTTCCTTCTGTATTTGTATCATGCTTAGCTAAGTAACTTCCTGACATATGCCAATAGTTATCTTTTTTCTGTTTGTTGCTTTGATGCGATAACCATTTTAAAGCTAACATTATGACTATGTCACAGTGTTTTTGTTTTTCAAAATTTTCCTGGCTTGATATATATTGTCTTTGCTTCTTTTTGTAATATTTGTTGTTTTCTTGGCACATGCCTCCCTAAAGTCTTTTGTCTCCCATAAAGTAAAGTAAAATTCCATTACAAACCTGACGGTCTATGGGGCAAGTGAAGTAGAGTTCACTTGTTTCTGTGACCTCGGCATATGAAGAGATAGTGTGGTCAGCACTATGCCCAGCCGCCTTTATTTTTTCTCCCATACCAAGTATTATTTCTCCTTTGATACATCAGGCTTTTCCAACATAATGATTCAATGTGGTCACCTTACCCGCAATAAAAACAGTAGATTTAGCATGATACCTCTGTCATCAATCAGTTTTCATTTTATTATGATGACTATGTGTTTATCTTTATAGCTTTTTTGAGTATGTGTTCTGTTGTACTTTCCTGTTACAATTGGTTAGTCCTTCATAATAGTTGCCATGCTTATCAGGTTCTGTACTGATCTGTAATCTTCATCACTAAATATCAACTCTCCTTTTTTAACATATTTTACACATTTTATTTCTCCTTGAAGGTTGATTCCAAATTATATAATAATACTTTTGCTTGTATACTGCAAGGCTTGTTAGTTTCTACAACTTTCAGTTACCTGTCATACATGTTCACTGTATCGTCATGCATGGCTGAATCTGAATTGCTGGCTAATTCTATACACATTGCACTATCTGCTGACTCATGGCTTTCCCTGATAAATGTATTAGATAACCTTGCCATGCTATCTTTAGACAGGCATAGGGCCTACTACACTACTGTGGTTTTGATCTGGTCTGTAGAGCATGGACTGCCATTCAGACTTGGAATTAAATGTGTTCTATAGTTAGACATTCACACCAACTGTGTTAAAATGTACACCTTTTATTTTGATTTGACTTTGTGTATTTTGTTGTGTTTTAGTTTGTTACACGTTCCCATAGCCCGTAACAAAATGTACACCTACTATGTTGATTTTACCTTGTGTATTTTGTTCGTTTCACATAACCTGTATTAAAATTTACAACGTCAATGTTGATTTGATAGAGTGTATTTTGTTGTGTTTGTTTTTTGTAATAAATTTCTCCCCCACTCTAACTTAGATAACTCTCCACAATATCTAAATACCTAAATATTTTGTACTGGATGAATTGACCAAAACCTCGACCACCAAGGGTAATTTTCTGGGAATTTTAAAATTAAAACGTAGAAAACAGTAGAAAGACTATACAAAACACTGTAGAAAGACACTTCATTAGGTCCACATGATCAACTTATCATAGGCAACGGCACCATCCGTGTCCACAGCAGCCTTGGGTCTGAATGACACGGCCACAGACACGAACTACCCATAATCCCATGTCACATGACATGGAACACGGGTAAAATGCGCCCACAAAAAAAAAACGATATCAACAGTCGCGGTCCCACAGGGGCCGCAACCCAATAAATTATAACTTTTAATTTATCCCCCTTGACTGGTAGCCATGATATGTGTTACATACCAATAAGCCAAAATATGGATTTGCCTTGTGAATGGGCTTAGTGGTATTAGTGTCTGATACTACAGAACAGTACCTGAGTCCTTGGCATGTGATGGAACAACTCCACATTGTAACGGCCGCTTGCTGCTTTATGGGGTCATCCATAAATGACGTCACGCTTTTTTTTGATGATTTTTTTCCTCCGCCCCCCCTCCCCTCCGTCACACGTCGTCACAAAAAGCCAGACCCCCCCCCTAAAATGACGTCACACCTCAACCTACAACCCCCCTCAAAATTGCAGTTGAATTTTTTTAAAACATCGATATTTTTTCAAAATCTTGTCTAAACTATTACAATTTATTAAAACAGTTATCTAAAACGCGAAATAACGTCTAAAATTCGTTTTCTAACATTGCTTTTTTAAAATGCAAAAATGTGACGTCGCAACATCTGAACCCCCCCTCCCCCTCATCACACATCGTCACAAAATTACGGACCCCCCCCCCCCTCCCCCCTACGAGTGTGACGTCGTTTATGGATGACCCCCTATACTGCCATAGGATCCTTGATGATTTTTGTCACATATTGGCTTGTGGCTTTCAAACCAATCATCAAGCTTAGCCTTATCACCAGCCAGCATTTCCTGCATTATTGCACATCTCTGGCAGTACTTGGATAGGCATTCAAAGTCCAGGTGCAATTCTCATTAGTGCAGCCTATGCCTGATTTAGAAGTTTTAGTCGTTGCAATCTCTTTTTGTTAGTTGCCATTTTCTGGGAATAAACAAAACATATATATAAAATTCAAGTAAATATCACCATGGTTTTACTGTTTAAGTTTTTAGTCCTGTACCATTCCGGAATAATATCGTGTTATCGCGAGATAACCCTACTTGTTGGGATGGTTTTTTTTTTTTTAAAAAGATGAGCTATGTTGTCTTAATTAAGCTTTTTAATACATGAAGGATACCAATAGTTATAATTTTGTTTTAAAATGAGAGCACATAATTCAATATGTGAACACTCACATGAACCCAAATCCTTCTCATTCAGTCTCCCCTTCCCCTCCATGTGGATGTGATAAAAATTTAAATTATGATGATCCTTTAGCAGTACATTAGCTAAGAATAACTTAAATTATTTAACTCAAATAAAATTAAAAGATTTTATTTATTTATAATTTATTTTATAGCCTATAGGCCCTTTGATTTATAAAAAAAAAACACTAAAAGATAAGACGCAGGCCTTGTAAACATTCGGCGTGAACAACAGCTCACCACACTTAGGAGGTGGGGGTGGTAGCGTTATGGTCTGTTGCGCATGCGTGGAGAGTGAGGGCGGTGGGTTAGAGATTCAGCGTGCGTGCGTGGTTGTGTCCCGCATGATGGGGCGATGTAAGTATGTATGTATATATATATATATATATATATATATATATATATATATATATATATATATATATATATATATATATATATATATATATATATATATATATATATATATATATATATATATATATATATATATATACAGATTGTTTACATTCTACTCTCTAAATGAAGAGAAGCGTATTATAGTGAAATTGTTTAGTACTGTTATTAAATTAAATCTATGCATGCACATAGCACCAACTTTAAAACAATTACTTTTTTTTTGCTCTTTTAATAGATCTACACAAGTGTTTAGGGAGGAATTAGAAATGTTTCTTATTCTAATCTACTCAAGCTTGGCCATCCTGGCAACGTTGTATATTTTTACCACAAGCAAGCCAAATGTCGTGGCTGGTGTGTACAGGATGCCAGGTAAATTTACACATTTAGTTGTTTAATTTAGCAATTTCTTATGTGTAATCCCTCTGTGTAAGCTGCGACTTGTTTTTTTTCTTTCAACGTCTTACTGTAGACCAGTGCAGAGGCGTAGCGACCCTTCCCGGCGCCCGGGGACAAACTTTTCGATTTGCACCCCCCCCCTCAAACTTTCGATTTGCACCCCCCCTCAAGTATTTGATTTGCACCCCCCCCCCTCAAACTTTCAATTTGCACCCCCCTCAACCTGTCAATTTATTTTTCCAACCCATTTTGGCGCCCCCTAAGCTCGGCGCCCGGGAACATATGTCCCCCCGCCCCCCCCCCCCCCCCCCCCCCATCGCTACGCTACTGGACCAGTGTTTCTCAACGTGAGGACAAAGCCATATAGGCAAATGGGAAGGGGGGGGATACATTTGATTACTAAGGCGTACAATTTTAAAAAAAACCCATTAAGTTCTGTACAGCCCACAATGCGGCCCACAGTTTAATTGTTAAGGGTGGTTTATAAATTTAATTAGTCATCGCTCAATCTGCTAAAAGTAGAATCGTATTGTCAGTATTTTAATCAACGATTCTGGGAAAAAGAGACAAAAACTTAAACGCTATGTATAAATAAGCTACTGTTGGCCTTTTGAAGAATAAACGACATGAGTGAAGAAATAGAAATACAATGAGAAAAATCACCATTGCGAATTATTTAAATAATTGTGAGAAATACCAAGGTCTTAGTCTCGCTCTTAACTGTAACATTGGTGTGGAGGACATTTCTCCAACACAATTACGTATCACATGTCAACATTTTATGCGCCATATAGCCCGTTGATTCCGACTTCAATTTGCTTTTCTTTCCGTAGCTTTTGTTCACCCAAGAACAAACTACAAGGCAGCAGTTGTTTGAGTTGGGTTGGAGTGATTTGTCCATGATAGATCGCTTTCCCCAGCTAACGGGCCTTATTTACCAGGGGATTTGAACGTAGAATTTTGAAGAAAGCAATCAGTCTCCCGTCGCGACCACGCCGTCCCCATATATTTCTAAAATTTAATCAAGTTCCTAAAGTGAACATTTTGTCATTTAACATTATAATATTTTATTATGCTTATATAATTGGAAGTAAAATACAAGCTTACTTATAAATCTGTTTAAGATGTACACATATAAAATTAATAATTTAAATATACATTTTTTAAAATTTTCACCATTTTGTAAGTATTTGTTATTTTAATTTTATCAGTGACATAGATATAAATTTATTTTATACTAACACAAGATTGGATTACCAACTGTTTTCAGTGCCGGCGCCAGGTTATTTAGGCAAAACTTATTAAAACGCCCCCTTTCACACACATTAATTACTAAAACATACGTATAAGAAAACAATTAATTAAAAGTGACATATTAATTTATTATCAGTTGCATACACGTTATAAATAGACATCAAAATCTAATTTTACTTGCTTCCTTCGTCTCAAAAGTTTGTACTAATTCCTTCAATTCCAGCTTGCAAGCGTAATCACATTCTATTGAAATTGTTGCTAAGTGCACGAGTCTAGTTTGTACTTTACGACATAGACCCCCCACCCTTCCCCCCCATTTAGAAAATTTTAAGTGCTTCCCTCCCGAGAGAAAAAAGTGTGGAAAAACACCACTGAATCAAAAAAAAGTTCTTGTAGTGTTGGGCTCCCTGCAGTCCTCCCAAGGTAAGTTTTAAAACAGAACTTACCTGTTTTAAGCTTCACTGTCTTTAGTTATAATTGTAATGTCTATATTGTGTGATTATGTAACGATTTTTGGTTTATTTAAAATAAAATGTTATAAATAATATAGATTCCAGCCTAAAATTGTTATGTAAAAAATACTTTAGGAGAGCGTGAAAAATATGAAAAGATAACTAATTAGATATTTAATTTACGACTGTGTGTCAATTAACATTACGTATTGAAATCTATAACGGCTACTGATGTATTTGTCTTTCAACTTGATCTTAAGATCTTTTGGCTCTTAAGCTCTATATAATTTTTACAATAGCAAATAGTTACTTAAAGTTGTATTTATATATAAGCTGTCAACCAAGGGTGCAGGAATTTGAAATGGATGTGAAGTTAAGCAACGAATTATTTCCCAATTGGAAATACAAATACAACAATTTTATTCAAGGGAAATAACTTTCACAAGAATAGCTAAATTAACCAAGTGTAAGAAGACATGCTTGAAATTCACAATAAAACGCTCTAAATTTCATTACGTAATCATTATATATATTGTGTTATATTAGTTATGTAACTTTGTGAAAAATAATATTTAACTTATTGAATACTTAACTGTAGGTTTTGCTTAAAAAAACTGTAGCTTGATTACAACACAGTTTCATTTAATATCCATGAATTTTTTGTATAAGCTAGCATTGATCTAATCTACATAAGTAAATTTTGGATCCCCTTAACAAAGGGACGACTTTCAAAAAATCAAACACGGCTACCTTTTAAAGGCATTGCTAGAATTGTTGATTAGGTATTAATAAATTATTATTTGAAGAAAAAAAACGAAGTTAACGGTTAGTTATAAATTCCATCCTATTTAATATTATATATTAAGATTGGTAATATAGATTCCTAAAAAAAACTGAAGATTTTTAAACTAGAGTAGTGTAGTGTGTTCCGTACTGAATTGAAATCATCTAACTTACGATAAACTCGACTACTTGACATACTCTAATACATTCACAACACATACCAAACTTCGATACCTAAACATAACTAGACTCGATACTCCAGAACTACGACACCAACTCGTTTAACAAACGGTACTCCCAATCAACGATTTCACTGGACCTACTACTACACTTTCACAGCCAATATATTTCGATACCTTAATACCACAAGAATCAATACTCCCGAACTCCAGAACTACGATACTTCATCACCGGCATTATCATTTCTCTATTACCAATCAGATTCCACTAGACCTTCAACTACAAATTAGTCGAATAAAAATTATGACACTTTAACACTTCGATATTTTATACCTACGAAACCATATCAGCAACAGACTTCCGCCGTTACTACCAAATCTAAACGATTTATCAAAACTTACCAAACAAGTACAATAATTTTAACACCCCTTCATTACAAAACTCTGTACACCAGGACAGATTTCTAATTCAAAGTCATAGAAAACGAGACTTACAAGCCCTATTAAAATTAAATAACCGTTTGAAATGTTCGAAATTTAAATAACGAACTTATTTAATCGTTTCCTACATCAATTATATGACACCAAATTAAAAAGGCAAAGTGACTGGTAAAAAGCAATCCGACCTTTCCTATTTTGGATGTGGGGTTGCATTTTCACCATCGCGAATCAAGATATGCCTATATAGACCTAATTTTGGGGTGGGGGTGCAAAATTGATAGTTCGTCTTGGGCTCTACCAATATATACAAGTTATTAATTATTAGGTACTTTTTGATTATAGCGATTAAACATTTTGCGCCCCCTAGGGATGGCGCCCTAGGCGACCGCCTAGTTCGCCTTATAGGTAGCGCCGGCCCTGACTGTTTTAAAAAAAAAACTTCACTTGAATTTAGTCGTTTATGCTTTTAATTTCTCCTTTCATTAGGTCGTGGCTACTGGTTCAAACGATTGATATTTTCCATCGTATACAAACTTCGATCTTTTACAAGACGGAGCAGCACTGGATCTACTTTAGATATCAGAGGGTATGGTAGGGCCCATTCTTATGAGCTCATGGAAGCTCCTCACCCCTTGTTGCCTAATCAGCATGTGAGTAATTAGTTTTCAAATTAATTTTTTTCATAAATTAAAAAAAAATAAAGTTTTCAATTATCAGATAGAAGAGTTTATTTTCGAAATATTTCATGCACTATATTTTATCATCGAAAAAATTGTTTTACCTTTTGTTTAAGCGAGTAAGGATGTGGCGATAAAATGCATTGAAGCACAGTTAAGTATAAACAGTTTATAGTAGGCCAAAGCAGAGGCGTAGCGAGGGGAGGGGGGAGGGGACATATGTCCCCGGGCGCCGACCTTAGGGGGCGCCAAAATGGGTTGGATAAACAAATCGAAAGTTTGGGGGGAGGGTGCAAATCGAACGTTTCAGGGGGAGGGGGTGCAAATCGAAAGTTTGTCCCCAGGCGCCGGGAAGGGTCGCTACGCCTCTGGGCCAAAGTGACCTACACTAGGCTGTTTACATTTTCAGGCAGACTGGTTCAGTCGAGCGTAACAAATACAAAAACAATGTTAAAGCTAAACCACAACCATTTTAAATTTACTGAATGGTTATCACTGATTTACACTTTAAAATATTAGGCAGAAAATGGAAAATAGATTGCAAAAAATTTCATTAATCGGGCCCTTGTTAAAAACTAGTCTGTTTTTAAAGGTAAATCGGGTATCCAAATGTTGAGAAAAAACATTGAAGATTAACAATAACCAATAATATTTTCTGACTGAAACATTAAATAATATGTGAGTAACTGGGTAGTTTATTTGTCTTATTTGTAGCTAGCGTTAGTTGGCATAGAATGGATTTTTGTGTGCAAGATGTGCAGCAGTGTTATGATGCTGACACTTTAATTAGTTTTATGTTATTTATCATTCATTAATCTCATTACAAGCTGATTCTTATACTGCACGACATTCCACAATCTTATCTTCATTGAAATAATTTAAGGTATATAAAGTTCTCCTTTCTGACCTAATGACCTATAGGTCAGATGAAGAAGATCACATTTTTCTTGACCTCGACATATGAAGGCAGTGGCGTAGCCAGGATCGTCTCAGTGGGGGGGGGGGGGGTCCAATTTTTACCCGGGGACAAACTTTCGATTTGCACCCCACCCCCCTCAAACTTTCGTTTTGCACCACCCTCATACTTTTTATATTTATACCGAGGGGTCTATGGCCTACGCCACTGTATGAAGGATGATTTGGTCAGCCGACGTTACTTTCTTGAGCTTGAGTCAGGTTCCTATCGGCACGTTCTACAGTCACGAACAGGGACAGAGATCCGAACTAGATACCTTCGGGCGCTCTACCATTTTACCACACCGTCCCTTAATACTTTGAATAGCGGATCTATTTTCTTTATTATTCTCAGTTTATGGAAACTATTTATTTATATATAAACAACTCTTCTTCTTCTTCGTTCTTAATTTTAGTGTTAGAATGGATCCCCCTCCAACACAATTAAGGATACGTGTCAACTGGTTAGCGCCATTGAGGCCATTGACTCCGATTTCAGCCTGCTTTTCTTTTTGGATTTACTTCCATAGCCTTTGTCCAACCAAGAACAAACTACAAGGCAGCAGTTGTTTGATTTTGGAGTTGTCTCTCCTAGAAGAGCGACTATCCTCAGCTAATGAGCCTCATCTGCCCGAGGGTTTGAACTCGAGACTTTTCGGTTTAGCAACCTTGAGCTTTACCGACTCGACCAAGCCGACCCCTCCATATGAACAACAAAAAAGGAAATTAAAAAAAAAAAAAAAACTTCCCAAAAAGCAAAACCTGGCTCTTTAATAGTTTTAAATAAGCTTTTCTGAGATCAAACCTACACACATTTTGTTATTGCTGATACAGTTAGTGTTGAATCTAACCAGGCCATTGACTGCTGCTACTTTGGCGCCACCAGCAAAGATGGTGCCAACATTGTTTGTCGTCTGGCAAGACGTCACAACAGAATGGCCGAGATCTGGCTATTTTTAGAACTTCCTGGCATTGGTTGCCTGCAGTTCCCCAGACACCCAGATACAGAGGTCAGCTACACAGATGGGTCAAGGTATCAGGCTGGGGGTCTGGTGTTTGAGGTCATAGAGCCCATGAAGAAATGGAAGATTACATACAGCGGGAAGTTAAGGCTAGTTTTTTTAAAATATTACTTGTCATAAATAAAATTTGTCTTGAAAATATTCTGAAATGTTATCAACGTTTTGATTCAATGTTCGGAAATTTTCAACACTGCTTAATTCTGTCAAACATTTTTGCACTATTTTATGGTGTTGTAAATATATCAGAATGAATTACTGAATAAGAATAGGCGTAACATTAATTTTTAAAAACATTATGTATGATTATTTAAAAAAAAAACATAGGCCTACATGTGTTCACAACTTCAAAATAAAAATCTGTAAAAAAATGTGTGTTAGACTTATTATAGGTTAGTTAATGCAGTCAGAAGTAACAATAAACACAATCTTCCTAAATCAGACTTTATGTTTTCCTTTCTTAAAACTGTTACAGTTTTAATAATTTTTTATTTTAGGAAAGGCCTGTGTAATAATGTTACAAATAAACCCGAGGAGTTCTTGGAAACACATTTTACATTTACGTGAGTAAACATGACTTAGCTTCATTACACTACAACATTCAGATTATACGCAACCAACAAAGAGTCTACAGAAATCAAATGACGAGGATAACTCAACAAAATACAGGATTCTATTAAGTTACCATTAATTACCTGCATCACTGCTTCTACTTTGGTGGTTTATTTTCTGTTTTCTTCATGTAATAGGGATTCAACATTTAATTTTCTTCAGTGAATAATTAGGAAGTAACTAATTGAAAGAAATAGAAACAAATATAACAATTTTAAAAATATTTTTCATTTTTTAACTTTAGCTGGAGTGCTTTCTCTCAACCTTTCAACTTTGACACAGATATGTCGACTTCTATTCTCGGAGATGGCTTGGCAAGAGAAGAGTGGAACTGGAGTTTTCTTGAAAAGCTTAAAAGGTAGGCGTAGCATGTCACGGGTCATGGTCATGGTCATGGTCGTGGTCGTGGTCATGGTCATGGTCATGGTCATGGTCACGGTCTCGGTCACGGTCACGGTCACGGTCACGGTCTCGGTCACGGTCACGGGCATGGGCATGGGCATGGGCATTACCCTCGAGCTAGCAGTCAAGAACTCTACCAATTAACAATGCCATCCCATCATGTGTATAAGTGGTATCATATAATTTTTTTTTATTAAACTTTACTTCAGCAACCACCAGAGCCATTATGAACAGTGGGGGGAGCTGAGGGGGAAGGTGTGTGTGGAAGGTTACGAGGACAAGGTCATGTCTTTACAGTGTGTCCGTGATCACACTTTTGGTAATACAATATTTAACTGGCTGTGTATGCTGTAATACACTGTTTTATGTGGCCTTGTATGCTGTAATACACTGTTTTATATGGCCTTGTATGTTGTAGTATTCTGTTTTATATGGCCATATATGTTGTAGTACTCTGTTTTATATGGCCATATATGTTGTAGTACTCTGTTTTATATGGCAATATATGTTGTAGTACTCTGTTTTATATGGCAATATATGTTGTAGTTCTGTTTTATATGGCCATGTACGTTGTAGTTCTGTTTTATATGGCCATGTACGTTGTTAGACAATGTTTTAAGACCATGTATGATGTAGTAAACTATTTTAACTTGCCATTTTATCCGGGCGAGTTTTGTTGTCGTTGTCTTATCTGAAAATTGTACTGTAAACACTTTAAAATAAAATGTATTATACCCCTTCATTTGAAAGTTAATTAAAAGAAAAATTTCTACAATGGATCTGTGCATTTATCTTTGCAGGGGTTCGAGACTGGAGAGATATACATAGATATGTTGCGATGTTTATTTACACTGAGGTATAAATATATATAAATATATATATATATATATATATATATATATATATATATACATAAATATATATACATATATATATATATATATATATATATATATATATATATATATATATATATATATATATATATATATATATATATATATATATATATATATATATATATATATACATATATATATATATGTGTGTGTGTGTGTATATACATACCTATATATATATATATATATATATACGTATATATACATATACATATACATATATATATGTATATATAATATAAATATATATATATATATATATATATATATATATATATATATTATATTTATATATAAATAAATATATATATAAATATATATATATATATATATATATATATATATATATATATATATATATATATATATATATATCTTTATATATATATATATATATATATATATATATATATATATATATATATATATATATATATATATATATATATATATAAGGCTGTTAACAACATTGTTATATAAGCCGTGTTGACCAGATAATTACAATACACATGATGTTGACCTTTGTTGTATTCAGACAGGGATGGCTATCCAGGTGGGAGTGTTTTGTCAGCCTAACTTGATGTCACAGTAAGTGACAGTACTCTATGTGGTCTATATACATGTTTTGTGACAGTAAGTTGTCACAGTAAGTGACAGTACTCTATGTGGTCTATATAAATGTTTTGTCACAGTAAGTGGTACAGCAAGTTGTCACAGTAAAAGTTATGAAGTTACTCTATGTGGTTTATATAAGTTACTTGTGACAGTAAGTTATGACAGTAAGTTGTAAAAGTAAGTTGTGACAGTAAGTTGTTACAGTAAGTGATCATGTTACTCTAAGTGGTTTATATACATTTAGTTTGACAGTAAGTTGTGACAGTAAGTTGTGACAGTAAGTTGTGAGAGTAAGTTGTGACAGTAAGTCTTCACTGTAAGTGATGATGCTACTATATGTGGTTCATACATATTTGATGTGACAGTAGGTGTTCATGTTATTTTATGTGACATAATCAAAGCAATATCATTTCAATTATTGGCAAATGTATATCAGACGTTAGATAATGTTATGAAATGTCCTGACATAGTTAAATCTGAAAGTATTTGAGAGTTGGTTGATACGTTGTGTAATCTATATGTTGGTGGTGGTAACGTCAAAGCTTAAATTAGTGATGGGTATACCAAATAAAGGAAATGCTCTACTTGTCAGTAAACTTAAGTTAGATATGCTGAAATATTGAGGGTCTACATTGTGCCATAACTGAAGATGTGTGTTGTTGTTTTTTTAAAGATTAAATATTTAAATGATATTGTGATTTTTACATTACTTATTTTGATTTTAAAAATAAAAACATAATTTTAAAAATCGTTAAAATGATATACTGTGGTTCTTTAAAAACCCAGTGTGAAGATTGGCTACGTGTCATATCCTAATGGTGACATTGTGTCAGTGACAGACGTCAGCCTAAAGTTGTGGGAGGTTGGAGAGGAAACAGGCCCACCGCCATCTTGGAACTTTTCGTTCACTGCAGGTTTTTTTGCATTTCTATAGCATTATATTGACGTTTATGTCTAGCGTTTTTCGTTTAGTGTATTATTTCTTCAATAAAATAACAGTGCCAATTGATCATCTGAAAAATAAAATTAAGTCATTTAAATGAATTAAAAGAAAACATTGCTGATCAAATATTTTATGTGAGCAATTTCGTTAGCAATTGATCAGTGCTGGGATAAAATAATCCATAATTTTAATTTTAAATTCAACACAATTAGTCAATTAAAGTTAATTCATACACATCATTATGCGATCATTTTCTTTTTAAATATCTACAGTCACATCCAGTATGTTCGGTAATTTAATGATAACTTAAATTAACAACAGTTTTCCGTATGAAATAGATGGTCAAGTTTATAACGTAATTGCAACAAGGGGGACAACTCCAGATTGGTACCATCATGAAGACAGGGGAGGTAAAGTCATGGAGGCGTTCACAAAGTTTACAGTGAATTCCCATAAAGGGAGAGGAATCAGTGAATACTTCTACAGGTAACTTAAGGCGAGCTATGCTGAGAAATATAGTATGTTGCTATGTCAACAAAGGTAATTGTAATAACATTATGCTAAATTATTTACTTGATACATTAAATAATTAAAAATCTTATAAACAATATCTTAATACATATTGTTTCACTGCTAGGAAAAGATAGTAAAATATTTTTCAATATCAGAAACACATTAACTATCCTGATATTAAAATTAGCTTAGTTAAATTCAGTTTGTATGCAGCGCATATTGGCATAATATTAAATAAATTAAAAATTAAACAACTACCATACATTCAAAAGTAAAATACAAGATATTTTCATATTTTACTGCAGAAATTCAAATGGACCCTTGCGGACAAATCTTCAACCCAACTATAAACTAGTTCAAGAACCACCTTCAAGTTTTGTGAGAGAAAATGAAAGGGAAATCACTCTGCTATTTACGCACCCTGCATGTAGCTCTTCAGCTTTGGTTGGTGGAAAAGGTGCTCAGTTAGCTCAGCTTACTGCACTAAGAGAAAATGTAAGGGGATACATTATGATAGTTTTCTTTTATTCCTAGACAAATTTCAGAAAAAAAAAAGAAATTTTTCAAATTGAATTTCGAGTATGAATACAGTGAATAAAGTTAATATATTTTAACATGCTTTCCATGTGCTTAAAAAATACTATTTATTATTCTTGCAGGTAAAAGCTCATGTATCACCTGGATTCTGTTTAACACTGAGATCGTTTGAAGTACAGCTACAGGTAACTTAATCTCTTCAATGCCGCTATCCAGACCTACAATGGCAGGAACAGGTGTTAGCAAAACTGAAATATTAACATGTGTGCTATTAAATGGATTATTATTGATATATAAATACTGGCAGTTAAAAGCATTTAGCTAGATTTTTATTGCTCCACTTATTAATTTAAGTGATAGAATGATACACAGGAAGCTATTTGGAAAAATACAAACTTGCAGCAATAATTTTTAGTGTATTTAAAACGAATTTAGTAAACGTTTTATTATCATAGTGCGCCTACAATTTTTGTTAAAGTGCAATATAGATTTATTATGGGTGTCTTCCATAAATGACGTCACGCTTTTAAAAGCTATTTTCCCTCCCCTACCCTCTGTCACACATCGTCACAAAAAGCCAACCCCCCCCCCCCCCCCCCCCATAAAATGACAACCCCCCCCCCCCTCAAAACTGCAAGTTGAATTTTTCTTAAAACATCGATATTTTCCAAAATCTTGTCAGAACTCTGTCAACCTAGAGTATTTTAATCAATTCATTACAATTTATTTAAAACCGTTTTCTGAAACGCAAAATAACGGCTAAAACTTGTTTTCCAACATTGCTTTTTTATACACCAACCCCCCCTCTCTCTCATCACACGCCGTCACAAAATTACAGACCCTCTTTTCCTCCACGACTGTGACGTCATTTAAGGACGACCCCTATGGTATAGTTTAAATGTGGCATACATTTATTTATATTGTAAACAGCCAGCGTAATTTATAAAACGGCCCAACTGTTTCTAATTTTAAGATCTCAAAGTTTGACTCCTTCAGTCGTACATTTTTATTTATTTTATAGAACTATCCTACAATGCTCAAGGCAACCAAAGCTGTAGCAGAAGCATGCTAGTGAGTTTATTTTTTGTTTTATGTTTTTTCTTTTTCGATCTTACTTAGTTGTAATGTTGACAGTGCCGGCGCCAGGTTATTTAGCGCCCTAGGCAAAAAATTTAAAACGCCCCCTTTCACAAAATTAATTACTAAAGCATATGTATAAGAAAACGATTAATTAAAAGTGACATTAATTTATTATCAATTGCATACACGTTATAAATAAATAAACATCAAAATCAAATTTTACTTGCCTCCTACGTCTCAAAAGTTTGTACTAATTCCTTCAATTCCAGTGTGCAAGCGTAATCACATTCTATTGAAATTGTTGCTAAGTCTACGAGTCTACTTTGTACTTTACGACAATGCCCCTCCCCCCCCCCCCTTTAGAAAATCCCCCCCCCCCAACCCCACCCCGCTCTCCTAAGAGAAAAAAAGTCTCGAAAAAAACACTGGAAAACATAGTTCTTGTAGTTTTGGGCTCTCTGCAGACCTCCCAAGGTGTGTTCCAGAACGGAACTTACCTGTTTTAAGCTTGACTGTCTTTAGTTATAATTGTAAAATGTCTGTGTCGTGTGATTATGTAAAGATTTTTTTTGGTTTTTGAAAAATAAAAGGTTATACATGTTATAGATTCCAGCCTACAATAGTTATATATGAATCCTATAGGAGAGGGCGAAAAATATGAAAAAAAAACACATTTTTTAAATATTTTTTTATTTTTTATTTTTATTTTTTTATTTTTTTTTATTTAATTTTTTTTTTTTTTTTTTTTAATTTTCCTTTTTTTTTTTTTTTTTTTGTTTTTTGTTTTTTAAAAAAAAAAAACAAAAAAATTAAAAAATTAAAAAAAAACAATAAAAAAAAAAAAACATAATTAATTTGCGACTTCGACTATTTTAGACGCATTAGTTGCACTATCTCATACTGTTTGCCTACTAACATTCAGTATTGAAATCTACAACGGCTACTGACGTGTTTGTTTTTCAACTTGATAATGCTAAAAAAAACCTACCAAACTATTTTGTTTAGAACTTCTGCTTTATGTTATTTTACAATAGCAAATAATAACTTAAAGTTTTATTTATAAGTAAGCGATCAACCTAAGGTGAAGGAATTTTAAATGAATGTAAAGTTAAGCAACGAATTATCTCCCATTCGGAAATTCAAATACCACAATTTTATTCAAGGGAAATAACTTTTACAAAAGTAGCTAAATTAACTAAATGTAACTAAGACATTCTTGAAAAACACAATAAAATGCTCTAAATTTCACTACGTAATAATCAAATATATCTTTTTTATTAGTCATGTAAACGTGTCAAATGAATATATTTTACTAATTGACTACTTAACTGTATGTTTTGTTTTCAAAGTCTAAACACGGTAGCTTTATTATAACATTTTTCTAATATATTATGATGACATACAATAAACTTCTGCTCACAATTAACAACAAATTTCAAGTTTTTGGATCCCCTAAAAAAGGGGCGCCTTCAAAAAAATTCAAATACGGTTAACTGCTATAATTATTAAAAATTTAAGAAATTATAATTTGAAAAAAAAAAGTTTACGGTTAGTTATAAATTCTAGCCTTTTATATATTAACGAGCCGACCCGCAGCGTATCGTACGCCGCTATTTAGTTGTTGTTTTATTTTCTACTTTTCAGTAATTCATAATTTGTGAATTCGACAGTACCACTGCTGTCACTGAAAATATTTGCTTTAAAATACTATCAGTAAGTCGTTAAGGACGATAACCCCCCCTCCTTTTCCCCTAACCCCCGTGAAAGTAGCCTCCTCTTAGCTACCTCCCCTAAGTTTAAAATCGTTTCAAACTAAATTATCTGCCCCGAATAGCCGTCACTTAACCCGGCTCTACGATTGAAACATTTAGCGCGATCCACAGCTCACAAGACTTCCTGGAGAGGAAGAGAGGGGACTGCAAGGCGCGCTTACAGCTTGTTGTCTAACGTCTCCAAGAAGAGAATTATATATATAGATAGTTTACGAGAGGTAATTTAGATTTCTAAAAAACTAAAGATTTTTCAGCTAGATAACGCCTACCTTTCTTTGTAAAGTGTTGGGTCTGAATTGAAATCCTCTAACTTACGATAAACTCGACTACTCGATATACTCTATTGCATTCACAACACATATCAAACTACGATACTAGACTGGATGCTCCAGAACTACGACACCAACTCGCTTAACTTCACCAAGCTCTACAAACGATACTCTTAATCAACAACAATTTCACTAGACATACTACTACAACAATCAACACAATTCGATACCTTAATATCACAAGACTCGATAATCCCGAACTCCATAACTTCGATACCTAATCATCTACATTCTCATTTCACTATTACCAATCAGATTTCACTAGACCTTCAACTACACAACAGCCAAATAAAAAATACGACACTAACACTTCGATACTTTATACCTACGAAACTATATCAGCAACAGCCTTCCGCAGTTACTCTCAAATCTAAACGATTCATCAAAACTTACAAACAAGTACAATACTTGGAACACCCCGTCATTAAAAAACTCAACACGCCAGAACAAATTTCTAATTCAATGTCGGAGAATACGAGACTTGCAAGCCTTATTAAAAATCAAAATTGCACATGTTTAGGAACGTCCCGTCATGCGCTTCAGCGATCACTAAATCAACTTTAAAATTAGATAACAGTTTGGAATGTTCGAAATTTAAATTACGAACTTATTTAATCAATCATTTTGCACATCAATTATGTGACACCAAAATAAAAAAAACCAAAGTGACTAGTTAAGATCCCTAATTTTTTATATATTACCATATATAGTTCATAAAAGATAATCAAAGTTAGTAATTATTAGGTACTTTTTGATAATAGTGATTAAACCTTTTTGCGCCCCTATGGATGGCGCCCTAGGCGACCGCCTAGTTCGCCTTATAGGTAGCGCCGGCTCTGAATATTGGACTGGATTTCCTCAAAGACAATTAAGTATTACGTGTAAACATGGTGTGCGCCATGTTGTATTTCAGTATATTTTGCTATCATAATTTGCTTCCATAGCCTTTGTCCAGCCAAGCATAAACTACAAGGCAGCAGTTTTCGGTCCACATCTGCCCGGGGTTCGAAATCGAGACTTTTAGGCTTAGCAGCCATGAGCTTAATCAATCCGACTACGCCAACCCCAATTTATTATATTTTTATTTACTTAGTTTTGACTCGCATCACATTAATGTAACGGTTCTAGTGTCACATATCTGATGGATTACATTTTCATGTTGTGCTTTTTAGTCTACAAGGTGCAGATTTGGTGTCCATATGTGATGATGCTGTACAAGCCATTACCTCAACAGAGATCTGTGATGTGGTCAAAAAAAGTATCACAGAGTCCATGCGGGTCTGTTTTGGTGCAGGTTACCAGAGTGTTCATTTGGCGGTCAGGTCCTCTGTTGCAGGTAGGTGTCGCGGTCATTGAAATATAAACTTTTGCAGGTAGGTGCAGTGATCATTGAAGCGTAAACTGTTGCAGGTAGGTGTCGTGGTCATTGAAGCATAAACTGTTGCAGGTAGGTGCAGTGATCATTGAAGCATAAACTGTTGCAGGTAGGTGCAGGGATCATTAAAGCATAAGCTGTTTCAGGTAGGTGCAGGGATCATTGAAGCATAAACTGTTTCAGGTAGGTGTCGTGGTCATTGAAGCATAAACTGTTGCAGGTAGGTGCAGGGATCATTGAAGCATAAACTGTTTCAGGTAGGTGTCGTGGTCATTGAAGCATAAACTGTTGCAGGTAGGTGCAGGGATCATTGAAGCATAAACTGTTGCAGGTAGGTGCAGTGATCATTGAAGCATAAACTGTTGCAGGTAGGTGCAGGGATCATTGAAGCATAAGCTGTTTCAGGTAGGTGCAGGGATCATTGAAGCATAAACTGTTGCAGGTAGGTGTCGTGGTCATTGAAGCATAAACTGTTGCAGGTAGGTGCAGTGATCTCTCTCTTTCTTCTATTCCTTCGTTAGTGCCCAAGACACATGGGGCATATGAAGTAGAGTTCATCTGTTTCAGTGACCTCCGCATATGAAATGATAGTGTGATCAGCACACGTGAGTTAGGTACCCATCAGAGCTGGGTGGACTCAGGGATGGTCTACTGACTTGAACCCGGATTCGAACTCGTGACTCTTGGGTTAGCAGTCTAGCGCTCTACCGCTAGGGCCCGCCTTCCCTTAGATGCAGTGATCATTGAAGCATACACTGTTGCAGGTAGATGCAGTAAGACCATCACTTTCATAAAGCTAACCCTAACATTTAAGTAATTTAACCACCATAATCACATGCTGCGGTATGCCTAACCCAAATGTACCTAAATTTCGTTTAGGTGAAGATGGAGATGAAGCATCTTTTGCTGGACAACTAGACACATTTCTAGGAGTTGTTGGACTGGACCAGGTGTTTCTTTACACCCTGTAGTTTTTAAATAGGCTCGCAGCTTAATACTAACATATAAGCTTACCATTGGGTAATGTTGCTATTAAAGTTACTGTTAAGCTGGGGCTAATTTAAGATCCGGTTTCGGACTATGGCTTGGGTTAGTTTAGACTTCCTACAGATTTACTTGTAAAGTATGAAAAACGATTTATTTCATACTGAGTCGGGTCATTCTAAATATTCAGTAGCATTTTTAAAATGGATGTACAGGACTAGCCTTGGTCATTTTTAAATGTGATTAATAGGTCGACTATAGGGCTTGTAAGTAGGTCACCAACCAGTTCAACGGCTCATGCAGGTTTTATAGAGCCGTAGAGCTGGTTGGTGACCTACTTACCAGTCCTATAGTTTAATGGCTCGGTCTAGTGATATAGCGCTAGACTGCTTACCCGATAATGCTCAGTTCGAATCGGGGTTCAAGTCAGTTAAACGTCCGTGAGTCCACCCAGCTCTGATGGGTACCTAACTTACTTTAGGGAAAGTAAAGATGGCTAGTCATAGTTCTGACCAAATTTACATCTATTCATATGATACAGTCACTTAAACAGGTCAACTTTACTTGCCCATGGACCGTCAAGTTCGAAAGGAAACTTTACTTACTTAAAAGTGTTTCTGTAAGTTTTAGAGTGAACTTTTCAGTAGTAGAAAAAAATGGATAAAACTTTCATGGATGTGTACTTCTGTTCTCACTATCCTCCAGTTTGCGTTTACATCGTAAATTAAGTTAATGTATTCTTGTGTACAGATAATGCTTTTTGTTTTTTATTCTTTAGAGATATAGCTATCATTACAATATTATTTGAGTGGGAGATATAGCTTGCAGTAAAAAAAAATACTATTGTTTACTTGTGTGGCAGATTCTGCTAGCAGTAAAAAAAAATTACGGTTATTTACTTGTATGACAGTTTCTGCAAGCAGTAAAAAATAATTACTGTTGTTTACTTGTATGACAGATTTTGCAAGCAGTAAAAAATAAATAATGTTGTTTACTTGTATGACAGATTTTGCAAGCAGTAAAAAATAATTACTGTTGTTTACTTGTATGACAGATTCTGCAAGCAGTAAAAAAATGTTGGGCCTCAGCTTTCACCCACCAGGCTGTTGAGTACCGCAGACAACACGGTCAGCCAATCAATGTCCTCATAGGTGTGGTCATTCAGGAGATGGTACCTGCAGAGTCAGCTGGTCAGTGAAGATTTATTACATGGGGGTGTAATTGTGTGGATAGCTTTATTTTTGGTTGTGATTTTCGGATCGAGTTAAGGTTCCTGTCTTTGGTGATAGTTAATTTTTGAGTGGTTGTGGTGGAGGGAGGGGGGGGGGGAGGGGCTATTGTAAATGTTTGGCGTAATCAATTTTAACATTAATGATAATATAAATCAAATAGGCTGTAATAAATAGAATAATAGTAGGCCTGCTATTTGAATCATGTCCTACTTTTATATAAGTGTGGCGTTTGCTTATTTTAGAAAAAAAAAACATTTACCACAACAATAGCAACTTCCATTTAACTTTTACGAACAACAGAACCTACCCTAAATAATTATGTCAGTATACATTTATACACTTCGAACGATTTAGTGGCCAATAAAGTGCCCAATAAATTTTAAAAGATATTAAATTGTTCGCAACAAAAATTTACTTTTTTTCCCTGACCTCTTACAGGTGTGATGTTCACAGTTGACCCATTGACCCGCAGCAACAGTCATGTCGTCATCAACGCCAACTTTGGCCTGGGCGAGTCTGTGGTGTCAGGGAGGTCTAACCCTGACACCATCACAGTGGAGCGACACCCTGAGTTTATACATGACACCAGTAAATTGGTGATTGGTTCAGTGGTGGCTGGTGACAAGAAGATCAAAATTGTGGAGACAGGTTGGTGTTTTCTGATTGTGAATTTTGGTTTAATGTTAGGTTTAAATTTAATGTTATGTTTCAGATTAAGTTTTGTAAAACTCAAGTTCCCTTTCAAACCTGACGGTCTATAGGGTAAGTGAAGTAGAGTTCAATTGTTTCTGTGACCTCGGCATATGAAGCACTATGCCCAGCTGCCTTTACTTTTCAGAGTTGGGTGGACGTAGGGACGGTCTACTGATTTGAACCCGAATTCGAACCCAAGAATTACGGATTAGAAGTCCAGCTCTCTACCGCTAGACCACTCCGTCCCCAGATTCAGTTTTTGGTCACTATTTATACAATGGTTTTGTCGGGATCCTGTCTACACTAAAATATAATTTCCTTTAGAAAAAAGTTCTTGATCAGTAACAGCGCTGCAGTTTGCATGCTGCCCAGCTTCGCTTAGGCTTTCGAAAACATTGAGAATTTGAATGCTTAATTAATTCGCCCGAGGGTCGGTCTACGACCTCAGGAGTTATGAAGAGATTCCTACGTGGACATTTTTGTTCGATTTATAGCTCATATAAGGCGCCGGTCAGTCGAGGTCAGTTTTGACCCCCTCATCGTAGACTTTTCGGCCAACCGACCCCTGTGTTTTGAAGCGCCTGTGGCGCCGGGAAGAGCCCTATCGGGCACCCGACAACTTTGCTTTATATATTATAGAGATTAGCAAATTGCATAGATAAACAAAGATTTCAATAAAGCAATTAAGGCCTGAAATACTTCAGTATAGAAATGTATTATTTGAATATATTCTAGATCTAGATAGGGTCTACATCTGTGTAAGTCTAGTTTTTCCGAATCTCTAGATCTAGATGATCTAGAATCTCTAGATCTAGATGATCTAGAATATCTAGATCTAGATGATCTAGTATATCTAGATCTAGAATATCTAGATTTAGAATCCTAATAGAATTTTTTTTAAGTTAGCCCGAGCAAAATTGTATTGTATAAATTTTATAGCGTACGTAGATCTAAATAATATTTGAATGAAATAGTTCATTTCTTTTTATTCTAAACACGGCAGATGACGTCATTAGTTAATGTATAAAAATTAGTGACGTCACTGTTGTATGCATTCTTTTACACAACTATAAACGCTTTTCCTGTTGCATAATTAAAACTGTTTTTCTACATTCGAATACGCCTTTATTTTTTATTTTTCTTCTTTAAATAAAATTGTGGTTATACATTTAAAACATCTACCATATTATTTTCAACAAAAGTCCGTAGCAAGTTCTCCATATATCGCTGAAGATTCTGGAGTGATATCCAGCGAAAATATTTTGCGGACAGACAGAGAGAGAGAGAGAGAGAGAGAGAGAGAGAGAGAGAAAGAAGTGCGCACTTGGGCTTTTATATATTAGGATGTTTGAGAATCACATTTTAAAATATTTAAACAAGTAAGTTTTATCTTTGTGTTTCAGGTTATGGAGGAGTAAAGGAGGAAGTTTTATTAGAAAGGTCAAAAGTCGTTTCTCTTTGTGATACAGTGATTTTAAAGCTTGCAACCATTGGTATTGAGGTGTGTTTTATTGTATTTATCAATGGTAGTGCTAATATTAATGATAAATTAAATATTTTCGTTAAATTGAGAGATATTTGTTGAATTTAAATATTTTCATTAAATTAAAATACTTTTATTAAATCTGTTAATCGTTTAACCTTATTTTCCTCACTTCTTTTGTGTCTAACCTGTTTACAATTAACAGGACCTAAATATCCATGAACTTGACTCCTATTAAAAACATAGACCTTCACGCCACTGTTTATAATTTTCTCTTAACTTTATCTCTTTGCCCATACAGTTAAATTTCATATAATGATTTGTGAGCTTGTGGTTTTTCAGCTAGAAAAATACTATGGCTGTCCCAGAGATGTAGAGTGGGCTGTTGTTGGTGAGGAGATTTACCTGTTACAGGTGGGGGAAACTGTTTGTTTACTTTCTTTATTGTTTTTTTTTTTACTTGCAAGGTTTATTATGATATGGATACTTTGTTTCTTGTACTCTAAGTTCATATCACAATGCATTATCATACGTGCTTGACTTACAGTGGGTGAATATTCATTCACCAAATGTGCACACAAAACGCACTTTACCCAGATGAATACCATTAAAAAATATTGCACAAAACAACAATATATATATATATATATATATATATATATATATATATATATATATATATATATATATATATATATATATATGTGTGTGTGTGTGTGTGTTTATATATATCTATGTGTAGAACTATATAGAAATGTTTGCTATTTTTGTCCAGTGTCGTCCAATAACAGTGTCAGAGGTTGAGACAGAGGAGGAGCTAATCCATGAGTTTGACAGCCCAGCTACTTGTGATTACCAGTGGTGGACCACAGCTAATATCAGGTTCTGTAACTCTGCTAAATAACACATCATCTTGTATTTAGAGTTACTGTTACTTGTGATATCTGTAACTTTGCTTTACTAACTGTATGCCCTATGCTGTTTTCTTGTTTGCTAATATAAGAATATGTATGTCTTAGTGAAATGTTGCCAGGGGCAGTGACTCCACTTACGCTAAGCATTTTCCAGCCAGCTCTTGAGTATAGCCTGCAGGTATCAATTACAAGTATTACAAGCTTTCATTTAGTTTGCACCGTTTTTTTTTTGGGGGGGGGGGGGGGGGGTGGCTAATCTTTTATCTGACCCACTTCTAATGCTGCGATTTCGTTCAAACTTTCCAGATCGCCCAAAAGCGATAACAGGTCTATATATTATTTTTAATTTAATTAGATGCTTAATAATATAAATTAAATGGTTTCGAAATAAATGGGGGGAAAAAAGCAACTAAATCACTCGATAGATTATTATATCCAATAACAGAAGGGGAGATAATTAGCTAGACGCCATCACACTAGCAATATGATGAGCCGTGGTTCACCAGAATATGTACTATCGTAGAGCCGGTCGATTTAATGAAGATTATTGGGGGCTAGGGGTCGGCGTGGTCGAGTCGGTAAAGCTCATGGTTGCTAAACCGAAAAGTCTCGAGTTCAAACCCTCGGGCAGATGAGGCTCGTTAGCTGGGGACAGCTACTCTTCTAGGAGAGACAATTCCAAAATCAAACAACTGCTGCCTTGTAGCTTGTTCTTGGTTGGACAAAGGCTATGGAAGCAAATCCAAAAAGAAAAGCAGGCTGAAATCGGAGTCAATGGCCTCAATGGCGCATAACCAGTTGACACGTAACGCTTAATTGTGTTGAAGGCGTGGTCGAGTCGGCAAAAAGCTCATGGTTGATAAATTCGAACAAAATCTCGAGTTCAAACCCACTGGCAGATAAATCTCGATCCCCTTCAACACTAATAATTAAGAACGAAGAAGAAGAAGAAAGATTGGGGGCTAACGCACTAACGAGAGTACTTAAAAAAACAATGTTTAGAGTAAATATTGTAAATCTAACGCTATCTCAATTAATAATTACATCTAGGTTTAAAATTCTTATGGGTTTTTTTCTGTTTCATTGTTATCATATGCGTCTAACCCTTAAAACCTCGATCTTGTCAAAACTAGTTTTTTAATAATAAAATATCGAAATGGCGATTGTGTTCAGCGATTATTTCACCAATCTTCTCAAAGTTTTTGCATGTTAAATCATTGAATTCAAAGGTTATAGAATACACTTGAATATTTTTCCTTAGAAAGATTTAATTTAATTAATATAGGTCAAAATGGATGGTTTTTTACAAAACAGTCTTGAATTAACATGTTCTAATGATTTATGTTTATAATAATGCTTAAATTTCAATTGACTCAGTAATTGTTAGAAATGTATGTACTATTAGCCTAACATTTTAAATATTGTTTATTCTTAGAAGTGCTTATAGGCCCTACTTGAATTAATTTATGCACTAAATTTTAATAAATAAAGTAAGAAATTATATATATATATATATATATATATATATATATATATATATATATATATATATATATATATATGTATATGACTTCTTACTTAATACATAGCAAAATAAACATTGAACTTTTCTTGCAGTACTTACATTGCAACTTGGGCGGCAGAAGAAAAACAATTCGTCTTCCTAAACTTATGCCTTCCTACTGCAACCATCTTTTTCTTTGTATTACAGTAAGTCTAAACACTATTCATAATAATGAGTATATTTCAATAAAAATTTAAGCTTAAAAATTTAAAAAAAAATTATTTAATAATCTATTTTGTGAGCGGTGTTTAGTATTATTGTTGTATTTATTTTTTGGAAAAGGCTGAACTTTTTTTTTGTTTATTTTTTCATAAAATTGTAACAGGATATCAGTTGTGTGTTTCTAACCTCCGTTTTTCTGAACAAAGACTCCATTGCTGTAAGCCTATTGGGCGAACCTCTGCCACAGTTAAAAGATGACGACATTGTGAATTATTTTGGCCGCAAACCTTTAGGGTTTTTACGAAGAATTTTCAATTTTCTCTACTTTATCAGAGTAGGTGCACGATAATTTTTAACCTATAGGTTATAGCCTATGTCAGGGGTCGGCAACCTGCGGCTCGCGAGCCGCATGCGGCTCTTTTGATAAGAAGATGCGGCTCTCCAGCTCCTTACACAAATACTAATAATCTTAATAAGAAAATAAAATATTTGAATTTAAAAAATGTTAATGGCTCTTTAAAACCACGGAAATTTTGAAAATTGTAACTTTTGGCTCTTCCGCTTCAAAAGATTGCCGACCCCTGGCTATGTTAAAAACTTATATTTAAAATTATAACAATAACTAAATTACTAGTAAGCGTAATATCCCTTTACTATAAACTGATTTTTTTTGTGTGGTGACTTAGGATTAGATTATTGTTTCTTATTTCACTGTTGTGAAGTTCAAAAAAATAATAAATGTTTCAAAGGTTTCTTATAAATCCACTGCCATGACCGCCGAATGGGAAGAAAAATTAAAAACATACACAGTGGAGGATGAAAGGACAGATGCAGCTGGACTGTACAGGTGTATAGATCAGAAGCTGGCGGACTATGAGTCTGTGAGTGGTCTCCCTTTCTTGTTCCTGTTGTTGTGACTATGAGTCTATGAGTGACCTCCCTTTTCTGTTCCTGTCATTTTAACTTTTTACTTTATACGAAGTATAGAGAAAGTATTGTAATCGTGCAAAAAATAAACCGGGAGTGATCTCCCCTAAACTTTCTCGAATATGCTTATATAACACTACGGGGATGGCAACTCGGGATGAAGACATGATTTTAAAGCCTTTTTTAAATTACGTAAACTTTAAAAAAATAGAATAAAATCTCGTAAAACAAAAGAATTGCACACCAAATGAGCAAAAAAAATGTGTATAATAGTGTGGAATATTATTAGTACTTTATATATTCACATGTGTTTTTTAGAAATTGGAAATAGCGTAAATTACTACTTCCGGTCAACAGAAATTGCTCAAAATTTTATATAGAAGGCAGAGAATTAGATCTTTTACTTACACGTGAATTTTGATTTAACTTTCTGAAACAGTACTCAAGTTATAGGCTTTTGAAAAATTGAAAGTAGAAAATATCCACTTCCGGTTATCGAAAATTGCTGAAAAGTATATGGGGATCTACAAATTTGATATAATACTTATATATGAAATTTCATCAACCTAGATGTAACGGTACTCAAGTTATCGTGGAAGAAACTCTTATTCTAACGCACTCCATAACAACCCAGTTTCTACATAAAACATTACTATCTACCACCCGTCGTAATTTTCTACATTCAATATTAACTATGCACCAACATTCATTCGCACCAAAAATACACACCCAAACACACCACACAACACAGCTCATGAAGTGGATTGCTTGCCCTGTGTACCAGGTCTCAAAACACAACACAACTCATGTAGTGGATTGCTTGCCCTGTGTACCAGGTCTCAAAACACAACACAACTCATGTAGTGGATTGCTTGCCCTGTGTACCAGGTCTCAAAACACAACACAACTCATGTAGTGGATTGCTTGCCCTGTGTACCAGGTCTCAAAACACAACACAACTCATGTAGTGGATTGCTTGCCCTGTGTACCAGGTCTCAAAACACAACACAACTCATGTAGTGGATTGCTTGCCCTGTGTACCAGGTCTCAAAACACAACACAACTCATGTAGTGGATTGCTTGCCCTGTGTACCAGGTCTCAAAACACAACACAACTCATGTAGTGGATTGCTTGCCCTGTGTACCAGGTCTCAAAAAACAACACAACTCATGTAGTGGATTGCTTGCCCTGTGTACCAGGTCTCAAAACACAACACAACTCATGTAGTGGATTGCTTGCCCTGTGTACCAGGTCTCAAAACACAACACAACTCATGTAGTGGATTGCTTGCCCTGTGTACCAGGTCTCAAAACACAACACAACTCATGTAGTGGATTGCTTGCCCTGTGTACCAGGTCTCAAAAAACAACACAACTCATGTAGTGGATTGCTTGCCCTGTGTACCAGGTCTCAAAACACAACACAACTCATGTAGTGGATTGCTTGCCCTGTGTACCAGGTCTCAAAAAACAACACAACTCATGTAGTGGATTGCTTGCCCTGTGTACCAGGTCTCAAAAAACAACACAACTCATGTAGTGGATTGCTTGCCCTGTGTACCAGGTCTCAAAACACAACACAACTCATGTAGTGGATTGCTTGCCCTCTGTAACAGGTCTGGTCCTGGACTTCTATCAACAGTGGCAGGTCTGCCAATATGGCTCAAGCTTTGATGACACTTGTTGGTGGCAGTGCTGCAGGTAGGTAACATGACAAGACTTTATATGACAGATAGATAATGTTTATACATAAAACATGATTACATTTGAAACCCTGTGATCAACAAATTAGTTTAGCGTTATGGACAGTTGTCGGAAACTTGCTTACTTAATCCTCGTCACTCTCTGTTGAGTATAGGGCAGCAACAAATCTCCGCCATTCCACTCTGTCAAGGGCGAGACACTTCAATACATTCTAGGTCTTGCTAGTGGCCTGTTCTTCTTCTTCCATCTCTCTCCTCCATGTTCCCAGTGGTCTTCCTCTCTTTCGTTTTCCAGGTGAAGTCCATTTTAGCGCTATGTTCGGAAGTCGTCTTCTGTTCATGAGAACGACATAACACAGCCATATGTCCTTCGTATTATTTCCTTGTTCGGGAATTTGTCGTCCCACTTTATCCTGAGAATACGTTGGAGGGATCTTCTTTTAAAGCCTGTAAGGCGGCTTTTTACTTTCTTGTTTAGTTTCCATGACTCTGCAGCATGAAGGCTTACAGAACGTACATTAGACTTGTAGATCCTTATTTTAGTTCTCTGCTGCAGTGAGGATGATTTCCAGATCTTAGCGAGTCTGTTGAAAGCCTTTGCTGCCAATGCTATTCTGGTGGTTATTTCTTTCTCGATGCTGCCATTTGTTGAGATGTAGCTGCCGGAAAGGGTGACTAGAAGGATGCTCACAGTGTTTCTTCCAGACTTTTTACTCCGGGGGGGGGGGGGGGGAAGGGGCACTTGAAATTTTCGGGGGGGGGGGGGGGCGGGGGAGGGGCGGTAGACTTTCTTCGGGATGGGGGGAGGGGCGGACACTGTATATATATATGAGTATATATTTTCTATATAAATTATAGAAATTTCATTTCGTTCGGGGGGGGGGGGGGGCGGTAAAAAATTAGAAGAGATGCCTGGAAGAACTCTGGATGCTCATCTGAAAACCGCGCACAACAAAGGTGTTGAAAAGGCAGTTTTGTGTTCTTAAATCGAACACATATGGACATTAGCAAAGAATGGCTACATATACATTGTAGCATGAAAAAAAAACTTTTTACGAAATAAAAAAAAATTAAAGTGTATTATTAAAATTAGTTTGTATTTGCACATTTTCTGTTTGCGCAGTTTTCCATGAGCTTTTCTCTGGGAACAGTCGGAAATTTGTTTAAATATATTTTTATTCCGAATAAAACATTTGATCTACATTGAATGGCATGGAAAAGTAACTTTATTCAAAAACTGATAACGCACAAAAAGTTGATTTTGGTTCCTGACCTTGGAAAAATATGACATAACATAGTCCACACTCAGAAATCATTTCAGGTTTTTCTTCGTTGGGGATGGGGGTGTGTGTGTGGGGAGGGGCGTGGGAGGTGCGCATCCCCTCCAGACGAAATATAAAAAGACGAGCCGACCCGCGGTGTATCATACGCCGCTATATAGTTGTTTTTTTCTACTTTTCAGTAATTCATAATTTGTGAATTCGACAGTGCCAACGCTGCCACTGAAAATATTTCTTTTAAACACTATAAGTATCTCGTTAAGGACGATAACCCCCCCCCCTCCTTCAGCCCCCCCCCCCCCTCCGTTACAGTAAACTCCACTTCAGAGTTTCTTCCAGGCATCTCTTCGGGGGGGGGGGGCGAAGCCGCCCCGAAAAAATTTTACCGCCCCCCCCCCCCGAACGAAATGAAATTTATATAATTTATATAGAAAATATATACTTTTAACAGTGTCCGCCCCCCCCCCCGGGGAAGAAAGTCTACCGCCCCCCCCCCCCCCCCCCCCGAAAATTTCAAGTGCCCTCCCCCGGAGAAAAAAAGTCTGGAAGAAACACTGCTCCACTTAGTTACCCCCCCCTCCCTACGTTTAAAATCGTTTCAAACTAAATTATGTGCCCCTAATAGTCGTCACTTAACCCGGCTCTGCTTGTAAACATTTACAGTGAACCACAGCTCACCAGACCATGTAGGGGTGGGGGTGAGCGCGATTACAGCTTGTTTTCTAGCGTCTCCCAGAAGATAATTATATATATATAGATTATAGAGAAATCTACACTTTAACCAATGCCTTCCCACCCCCTTCATATGCCGAGGTAATTAAAACAGGTGAACTCTACTTGCTCCATGGACTGACAGATTCGAAAGGGGACTTTACCCCCCCCCCCCCTCCTTACCCACCTCTGATTTACCCCACCCTACTATGATTAGTATTCTACTTAACTGCAGTCGTAAAATGTGTGTCTGGAAAAACTGCTAAGCCTACAATACCTTGCTATATACTAATTGTAGAAACGAAAACATTAAAAGATTATACTAATTTGTTGAGTCTACTAAAATAAGCTACAACGCAAGTGTATGCTTGGCAAATTTAAGATCGTTCACATTAGTAAACACGCTTTTGTGAAAACATTTAAGACTGTTGTAAACAAAATCTAATAAATATTTTTCTTGCAGACTGGACATCAGAACACTATGGCGATTTAGCGTTGTTATTGTCTAGCTGTGATGGGGTCTACAGTGCTGAAGTTCCACAATCAGTGTCGGTAGGATGATGTCTTTAAGATTTTATAAAAACTAATGGGAGGGCGTGGCCTAGCGGTAGAGTTCTAGTCTGGTAACCCAAAAGTCTTGAGTTCAAAACCGGGTTCAAGTCAGTAGAACATATCTACCACATAGTTACGTTATCCTTGTCATTCCATGTGGAATACAGGGCAGCAACAAATCTTCGCCATTCCTTCGTGTACCTGTTTAACATCAACTACAGAGGCGTATCCAGGTCTTCGTTGTAGGGGGAGCGAAAAGAGCAAAAAAAGGCGCCGAATTTTTAACACGTTCTATATACGTGTATTATATATATATATATATATATATATATATATATATATATATATATAATTACTAGCTGTATGTCATTACTTCGCTATGATGTAAAATAAATTGAAAGTAGCACTCTAGTTTATATCTACACATTTAATTTTATAAAATGTCAAAACAAATAAATAATTACTTTTGAATATAATGAAATTGTTTAACACTATTCGTGTTAACAAAATGTTTTTGTCTATAATCAAAATTTAATATTTCGTCATCATAAATGCTAAAGTATTACAGCATCATGAAAGTTTTTAAAATCAGAGTTTGTATAAAACCACGCTTTTCGATTTAATAGAGCAGCATTCGGAATAACAGCTTGCATTTAACTAAATATCTGTCTTTAGTTTAGATCATATATTTTTAATTAACTACTGCTTCTTTGTGTTTTTTAAAGATCATTTTTTAACATAGTGATAGATATGGGTTAGATCACTGTATTGATCACACAACTATTTACTGGTAATTGCAAAAACAATATTCACAGAGTTTTACGTTTAAAAAGTTAATTTTCTGGCGGCATGGTCCTTTGGTACATCATTACGCGTTTTTCTACATGTACTTAACAGATCAGTTCGGGGTGGGTTGGTGGGGGGGGGGGGGGGTTCAACTTCATTCGCCACTGTCCGGTCACTTTAGGTCAATTATCCAACCTAGTGTATACCTAGGTGTGACATTAATCAATTTAATGTCGCTCTACAATCACAGTGAACATAGCGTCAGTTTTTAGATGAATGTTTTAAACGTACATATATATTACACAAATATATATTACACAAATAGATTTAAATAAGTAGCAGTGGTATTATGACAATATTTTTTATACCGAGGGGTCCATGGGGGATTGGGGTTGTAACTGTTTCATATAATTTGTAATCGTAATCACTATCGCCCAAACTGTAAGAATACTACTACTTCATCGTGATGAAGTTGTTGACCTTGTCAAAATTCCCCCACCAATACGCAGCTTGCTCATAAGTAAATTTGAATAGAGGTGCCACATCAGTTGTATTTGTGTCTGTATTGTAATTTTTTTTAAATTAATCACACGATTCAAACTGTATAAAGTAATTATGTGTGAAGTTTTATGTATAACATTTTCTAATTCAATTATTCGTAAGCAAATACATTATACAGTTGCCTTAAACTTAACACCCCTCTTGCCAAGTGGTTCTACCCGTAGAGGTTTTTTAAACATTGCAATGCATCGTAATGGTTATTTTTAGAATGGGAAACTGATGCAGCTGTTAATACGTGTTGTAAACGTAGACACTACTAGACTAGTACAATAATGCTTAATCGCTGCATGAAAAGAAATCTTGTGATTTACATAGATGTGCCGACCAAAAATATTTTTTTTAACAAATATCATTGTTTAAAACTTTGAGTTTAAAAAGTTTCCAAAAAGGCGCCACTTTGCTGAAAATGGCCAGAGGGGGAGCGGCCGCTCCCCCTGCTCCCCCCCTGCGTACGCTACTGATCAACTATGTTACTCGTTTTTGGTAAAAAGAAATTTTAATTTTATCAATAAAATGTACGCACTTTTTGAAAAAAGCTTCCGGTAAATCATTTTGGTTATATTGGTTATTTGAATAATGAAGCAATGAGGTGTTCAATGTTTACGACTTTAAAAAAAAAAAAAAAAAAAAAAAACCAATAATATTCTTATGTGGTTTGGCTTGAAATGAGACCAAAAAGCAGAAGTGACGACACAGTAATTCAAATAAAGTTATACGTTTTATGATACTTGGTTAATTAATGTAATATTTCATGTTTAGTTTTAATAATCTGTAATGTGAAATGACCGTCCCACAGTTGATTGCTAAAGAAATAGCGAGAGCAGGAGAGGGGCTGGTACATCTGTTTATGGAGACCCCAGATGCAGTAAGTTAAATTCTTATTATTGTGGTGTTTGTTTACAAAAACATTTTAGGCTAGTGGTAAACAATATTCCTTTACAATACATTTATTATATATTTTTGATGATAATGAAAGTGATAACGTTTCGTAAAATATCTTTTAATAGACATTATTTATTTTATACGAACAAATGCTTACATGTATTATTCAAAAACATAAACTAGTTCTGAATATACAGGAATGTTTAGAATTATTGAACCGTTACTCAAAACTCAAGATGTGCATCAGCGAATTTCTTAACCGGCACGGACATAGGTGCATAAGAGAGGTAAGCACATTTTGCATCTTGTCCAGGTAAGCCCCCACCACTAATGCGAAAAGTGCTCAGGCGGAAGGTTAAGCCCGGCCACATTTTGCCAGCTCCAATTTAATGCATGCACGAAACCTTGACATTATTTCTGATGTCTATAAATGCACGTAATAAACGCAACTCTTTAGCTGCTTCTAGGGTTGGGTTTGGGCTAGGGTTTGGGCTAGGGCGTGCGTTTAAGAAACTTACGTTTCATCATTTCTATGTTTATAATCTTTGTTTTGGGTATTTGGGGTTAATTTTTTTGGCGAGGCTTATCTGAACAAGATTCCCTATTTTATCACAAAACAGTCAGCAGGAACATGCTCACATACTTCTAAAATAATTTTTTTATTTGTTTCAGTCTGAGCTGAGGGAACTATCATGGGCAGCAGCCCCAGAAAAGTTTGTTTCGGTTCTTAAGGTTGGACTGTTTTGTTTTCTTTGTTTCAATGTTTTTAATTAAAGTCGGACTGTTTAATTTTCTCCATTAAAAAAATATCACGTTCTAGAATCTCATTTATTTTAAATACAAAATGAAGCAAGCACGTTTGTTGAGTTATAAATAAAAGTAAAAAGAAGTTAAGTTACTCTTTTGAACTTAGCGCAGATGAAGTAGACATTATTGTGACATTATTATATGAAGAAATTGTGTATTCAGCACTATTCCCAGTTGCTTTTACTAACGCTAATTTAAGTCAGGTACCCATCAGAGTTAGATGGATTCAAGTAAGACCCATGCGGTCAAGCCAAGGATTCGAATTCGAGACTTTCAGGTTTGCAGTTGTGCACTCTACCATACGACCATGTATTTCCTTAGACTAAAGTTAACACTGAGATACATTTTACTTAATATCTACAAAAGTCATATCTAGGGCAACGGAAAAGTCATTTTTAAAATTCTTTTAGATGATGTTGAAAACAAAATCTTTTGAGAAGTCTGAGAAATCAAACATCACAATACCTGAGCTTTTAAATAAAATCAAGAGAAAAATTCCCGTCCACAAAAGGTAGGCTTTAGTTAGTTTTTAATTACTTAACTGAGTTCTAAATTCAGACATGTCATTTGCCTTCTTTTTCAAATTCATGTAAATTATTGACATTATATTATTTGAGTTAACACTGTTTTGTTTAATGAGGTTACTCAAAATAAAAAATTAAAAAATAACTTATATCTATTGTCAATATAAGATGGTTCCTGAAATGGCTTCTGCCTCAAGCTAGGCGAGCTGTTGGCTTAAGAGAATGGGGGAAGGTAATTCATCTCACTTTTATGTTTCACACTTTCTAAAACCTCTCTCTGTCAAATCATGTCTTGAAATTCTCATCCAAAGGGCTTAAGTATTCTGAGACCTACACAGATAAAACTGTGTGGGTCGCTTCTTAAATTCTTTTTAGTTATTTAAATAGTAGCTTATTATTATATATTTAAAGAAAATCAACTAATTTCTCCTTTTAGTGCATTATTACATACATCCGTTTTTATGCATTTTTAATGAAGTTTAAATGCTCAACTTTTAATTCGCCTTAATTTAAATGTGGTGCATGTTTGTTGGAGTGTTTAATAAATGTGTCGGTTTTTTTCACTTCGTTGCCATGTACAATCTGATTATACTACAATTTCAACCAACACACAGTCAATTGCTGTAAAAATGAATGACGTTATGAAAACAGCGTATGCTGATTTATCTGCCCGCCTATACACAGAAGTAAGTTACAGAAGTAATTATTTTAACATATTTATTTTGTAATTTTCAGTTTCAAAACGGTGATAATATGTGTATAAGGGAATTCAATGAAGAAAGTAAAATGACATAACACTGGATAAAAATAATTATTAGCGGCTGCTACTCTATTTCTTTAGACGGTTTAGTTCAGCGTCGCCCCTTACTCCTTACTTAAATATATAGCCAAAATTGGACATTCTGGTAACCCATGATAACCCATGGCCGATTATATATATATACATACATATATATATATATATATATATATATATACATATATATATACATATATATATATATATATATATGTATATATATATATATATATATATATATATATATATATATATATATATATATATATATATATATACATATATTCCGTTTTACTGACTTCACTATTATATTTAAAAAAACGGTTAAATGGCTGCTAGTTTTGAGTAAATTATTTCACCAGGGGAGACTACCTGATCCTGACTTAATGTTTTTTTTAACACATCAAGAGATTGGAGCTCTTTTGTCAACACGCTCTGCTCGCCTGGTGATCAAGTAAGTTCAAGTTAAAGTTGTTTCAGTTTGTCCGTTATCATTATCATCTTTGAAACCAAGTAGTGTTTACGAAACTGTTGATATTCTAGTCATATTTTATTAAACATTAAAAGTCTTGAATGTCTTCGATTTTCAGTTGTCTTTTACCGCTTAGCGGGGCTCTATATAAATATATAACTAGACTATATATATATATATATATATATATATATATATATATATATATATATAGAGAGAGAGAGAGAGAGAGAGAGAGAGAGAGAGTATATATATATATATATATATATATATATATATATATATATATATATATATATATATATTTCAAATTGTTCAAGGCATATATAATATTGGTTATTTTTTTATTATTTACTCACAGTTAAAGAGATAAATTTGAAAAAAAAACATTTGATTATGATCAAAATATGATGTAAAATTAAACAAGAAATTTCAATTTAATTCTCTAAATATTTTTTAAAATAGTTATTTTAAAATACATTTAATTCTTAATTATAAAGCCTTAAAAAAAATTAAAATGTATTTAACCTAGAGCTCAAAAGCGAAGGAAAATTTTCACAAAACAGGCAGAGAATAGACTTCCGAAAATCTGCCGCAGCTACCCAGTTGAGGTAAGCGGAGCACTGGTCTGAGTTTGATCCCTTTATCATTACCCAGGTTAAAAATTAATTGATTATATGCAAGCCTGCTATTTGTCATAATAGCATTTAATCTCCTGGAAATTTTTTTTTTATCAAAGAAACCATGTTATTATTTTCTATAAACGTTTAGTTTCAAGATTATTATATTATGCATCTCATCACTTGTGTTTAATTAACGAATTTTATCTCGTTTCTTTAGTTAATAGTCTTTAATCAGTCGTCTGTTTAAAAATAATGTCCAACTTGTTTATTTACAACTTAGACCTAACATTTATCTTTCTTTAAGATCAGTTCAAATTCGAAAGAAACAGAATACTCCAGCGTTGAATGTTTATTAAAAGGTTGGTAAAAATTTAAAGATAAAATATATACATATAGAAGCTTTTAGCATTAAAATTTACAGTAAATAGGGTACGCATCAGTGGCGGAACTAGAAAAAAAAGGCTCCCCCGCAAAAAAAAATTTTGGGCCCCCCTATATATATATATATATATATATATATATATATATATATATATATATATATATATATATATATATATATTATAAGTAGTGTGCTTCTCAAAATTTTAAATAGTCTATTATCTGAGTATTGTAATCTATTTCATTGCAATGTATAACCACTCTGAGATAACGAACCAGACAACAATAAGTCCGAATAGACTTCAGGCCCGCAATAATCCCTGTTTTACAAGTATTTTTATTTTGTCTCCTTTTTTTTTATTAAAAAAATACAAGTGTTTTTATTACATTTTCATGTTTACTGCAATTTGATAATAATTCGTTTCAAGCTGGTCAAATTTATATAAACACGTAAGCTTGATTTGTGCAATGGTTTCTTGCGTTATGTTTATTTTTATGATTTTTTAAATTTATATTATTAGTTTTGAATACATTCATTTTTATAGCTTTAGGGTTCTTTATTATGCCTTATTTAAATAATAATTAAGAGAATAAAGTGCTTTTTAACTTACATAGTACAAAACTATTTAAATGAGCTTTATGGGCACCCTTATTTTAAAGAAGGGCAGTAAGTCATGGAAGTAGTGTGAACGTTTGCCTATCTTTCAAACTACAGAACTAGTAGATTTTATATTTTTCTACGCAACAGTGTGTGTTAGTTACTGTAGAACAATCACTGCTATAGTAGACCTGTTTGTTTTTTACAAAACCACTATCAAGGAGCGCGAAAAATATTATTTATGAAAAGAAAATTCATTGTTTTTTTGGTCGGAATTGGGCCCCTAAACGTCGTGGCCCCCCCCCCCCCCCCCCCCCCGCATTGCGGGGTCTGGCGGCACTGTAGTTCCGCCCCTGGTACGCATCTGTTTATATGAGTTTAATTTAAAAAACTACAGTTGATTAATTATATAACTGGATGTCGGAAGGAAATTTCAGAGTTTTAGATTAGTCTGCGTCGTGGGTCGGGGGAGCTTAAGGTTGCTGAACCCTAAATATCCACAGTTTGAACTCCCTGGTAGATCCGTCTCGATAGCAGGGGAGAGTTACTGTCACAGGAGAGACAACTCCAAAATCAAACAACTGCTTTCTTGTGGCTTGTTCTTGGTTAGATACAGGCTATGGCAGCAAATCCAAAAAGTAAAGCAGGCTGAAAACTGAGTCACTGTCTATATGGCGTCTGGGGGTTCAAACTCATGACTTTTGGTTTGGCACTCGTGAGATTTACCAACCCGACCACTCCGACAATTTTTTAAAATGTCTAATTAATGTGAAAAATTAAAAACCTTAGTAATATTATAAAGAGGTTAATTGAAAAACAACTAAAAAGTGTTGTCTACCTAAAGGTTTGCCAGTTAGTCAAGGTTTAGTGACCGGACCGGCTCAGGTTGTCCATAGTTTGGCTCAGGCTTCTGTTATTAAGGTAAGGGTTTTTGCCAGGTTTTTCAAACGCAGTATATCGAATTATAAATTTTTTTATAATAATTTTTAGAGAGTTATCTAAAAAATTGAATAATTTAAATGGAACAATATATTTTACAAACCATTAGCTAAAGTGTAACCGAAGATGAATTAAATTTCTCGCTACTAATTTATAATAACTTAGGCGTATTGTAATCCTCAGTAGTATTAATTTTTACTCTATATATAAAGATCAAATTTTTGTGTAGGCCCTATATGAAATTCAATTTTTTTAAATTGAATATACACATCGATTCAAGCGAAACAGCTTTAATTTAACATTTTAGTGGTCCATGGTTTTCATAACCCCTCGAACACTCCCTGCCGAAAACAACTATCTTTGATCACTAAAATATGGCCTAATTTAAAGGTATAATTTAAAGTAGACTTGCAAAAATATCGTAAAATGTGTAACACATGTAATTGTTGATAACAGAATCCAGTAACAAGATCCAGAACCTTTCTTTCACATTACTAGACTCGGCCGATTTTACGCACCTAAAACGATAGATTACCCATGTTTGATATTATGATATACCTCATACAGGCAGGTGATATCCTGATTATCACAAGCACTGACGTGGGCTGGACTCCATACTTTCCTCTACTGGGTGGATTAGTGACAGAGCTAGGTAGTCTTATGTCTCATGGTACGTACGCCTTAGTTTACAAATATACTTTTGTGACAAGTTAAAATAAATTGTAAGCCATTAAGCCTGAACCGCATTACTGAAAACACTGTGAGAGTAACTCTTATGGTGAAGAACTGGGAAAAATAGTGTACATTTTTAAAGTATTAAATCAAACTTTTTTACTTTCTCGTATATACGAAGTATAGAGAAAGTCTTGTAATCGTGCACACAAAAAAAAATCGAGATTTTTACAAATCACGACGTTTTACACCTCACTGATACGGAAAAACATAATTTTGAAATCTTGTCCGTATGTCTCTCTGTGTGTGTGTGTGTGTCTGTGTGTGTGTCTGTGTGTGTGTGTGTGTGTCTGTGTGTGTGTGTGTAAACACGATAACTTGAGTACCGTTACAGCTAGGTTGATGAAATTTCATATATAAGTTTTTTATCAAAATCGTAGATCCGTATCAACGTTTGAGCGAAAAGCCTATAACTTGAGTACTATTTCAGATAGATAAATGAAATTTCACATGTAAGTAAAAGATCTAATTCTCTACCTTCTCTCAAATTTTGAGTAATTTCCGTTGACCGGAAGTACTAATTTACCCTATTTCCGATTTCTCAAAAAACGCATGTAAATTTATAAAGTACTAATAATATTCCGCACTATTATGCACATTTTATTTTGGCGTTCGCTTGGTGCGCAATTGTTTTTTCTACTAGATTCTATTCTATTTTTAAAAGTTTAAGTAAACAAAAATCATGTCTATATTCCGAGTTGCCATCCCACGTAGTGTTATATTAGAATATTCGAGAAAGTTTAGGGGAGATCACTTCCGGTTTATTAATTGCATGCAAAGAGATTTTGTACCCTGAATCAAACACCGATACATCCTTTATTTAAGTGTAGTACTGTTAATATTAGAGTTGGGGGCGTGGGGATGAGGATGGGGGTTGTCAGGTATTTATCCCATATGTTACACAGTTATTTACAGAAATACATTAATTAAAGTTTCGCATCCCTTTATTAAGATTTCCCTTAGAAAAAATGCAGATTCTTTCATGTAAACATGAAACAATGAAGAAAATATGTTTTTCTGCTCATTGAAACTGTTGCACAGACCATTACTAAGGGTTTATTTTTTTTAAATTTTGAATTATTTCTCACATGTTTTGGTAGGAGCTGTTGTGGCTAGAGAATATGGCATCCCATGTGTGGTGAATGTGGCAAATGCTACAACTATCATCAGATCAGGTAAACTTTCTGTTAATTTTTTTTTTGTTTAAATAAGCTTTCGTTAATCACTACATGATATAATGTTAGTGTTATTTATATGCCAACAGTATACATTTATATTCTAAATAATGCACTTTTTAGGTTGCTATAAATTTCAGTTAGAAATGTTTTTATAAATCAATTTGCGACTGAATTTTCGTAAAGGATTAACTAATTTCACGTAAATCCTGAAATCTTTAGGGTCGAGACTAGTCGTTAATCTATGGTTAAATATCATTTTTGACAATTCTAATTTAAATTAACAGCCATTTTAAAACTGTTTAAACATTAAGCTTTGAACATCTTCCTCCCTTGCTAATGTAGGCTATTTTACTCACAGTATTTGAACATTTTAAAATGTCTCGATTTTGCAAAAAAATTGCTTCATTATCACATTTTTTGGGGAAAAAAAAACTCTGTTTGTTCTCAAAAAAGATTTGTTCATCGTGGTGTAAAAAATATCAAATGATATGAACAATTACTAATAATGTGATAATTATTAATTATTCAGGTGAAATACTTCAAGTAGATGGACGACTTGGCACAGTTAAACGCCTGGCAGTAAACGATCATTAAGAAATTCATTACATGTGAAATCGTGATCAACATTTTATTGTTTAGTTTTTCATATTATTACTCTAATCGGGGAACTTAATTTTAATTTTGTTTTTTATGCTCAGAATTTTTAAACTGACCTTTCGTTATTTTATATAGGACCTATTTTCCAATAGCGTAAGTATTTAAAACCATATGATATTTAAGTTGAAGATTGTATCGAAAACGTAATGTTCTGGTAATGCTTGTTAGATGTTAATTTTAATTAACCCCAATAGTGCTAACTATAATGTAATAGTTGCTTTGATAATATTTATACAAAGCAAGCTCGGCTAAACAAAATTAGTTTTTCATTTGTTTGCTTGAATATATTCATTAATTATATTCAGTTTGTTTTAAATTATGACCTAAAGTATGAAAATGAAACAATGAAATCAAGCATACAAATTCTTCACGAAATACTTCAAAACACTTAATAGATATGGAAAGTCTATGTAATCATACTAAATTTTTGAAAAAAAATCTTTGAAAAATATGGCAGGTGAAAAATTTATAGTTAAAATTATAAAAATTAAAGCCGTTTGGAACCAGGTTTTCAATACTATTATGACCATTTGATTTAAATAATTCTTCACGAAATAGTTTAAAACATGTAAATATGCGTTGTGGTTTTCTTTGAGGGTGTAAGATGAACGCTGTGAGAATGGTGGGTGGTGGGCGATTAAAACATGTGTGGTTTTGTACGATAGACGGATCCTTATTTATATGCCAAATAAAGTTATATTCTTCATTGTATAGTGGTTGTGTGGTTTGATTTTTTTTATTCCATGGCATACACATTTTCATCATTTTACGGCAAAAATTAAAAGAAAACGAAATAGTTATTTCGATTCATTAGATGTAGTAGGCGGAGAAAGGTGGAAGATCAGCTGAGTCCATGTAACAAATTGATCTGTGTAGGAAATAGAAGAAATGTTGGTCTGTTTGTGCCAAGGGATCAAATCTCGAATATTGTGTTTGTGTGTTCAGATCTTGGACTTAATCCCTCAATTGTTACACTTGACTTAGTAAGTATTTTGTGCTCGTTTAGGCCAGTTGTAACAATAATAAACAAAACACAATCCGCCTAGAGAATCTAGATCTTTATAATTTACGCTTCATTTTCACCAACCACAAGAAAAAACAGCCAGACTGCTAACACTAAGTTTCGAGGTTGAATCCGGGTTCAAGTCAGTAGAGCATCCTTGAGTCCACTCATCAGAGGCGTATCCAGGTTTTCGTTGTAGGGGGAGCGAAAAGACTAAAAAAGGCGCCGAATTTTTAACACGTTCTATATACGTGTATATATATATATATATATATATATATATATATATATATATATATATATATATATATATATATATATATATATATATATAATTACTTGCTGTATGTCATTGCTTCGCTATGATGTAAAAATAAATTGAAAGTAGCACTCTGAAGAAAAAAGAAAAAACAACACACAATGTAGGCCGACAAAACAAAAATTGTATCAATCTAAACAAACAAATATATATATATATATATATATATATATATATATATATATATATATATATATATATATATATATATATATATATATACTACAACCAAAACAATGAACGTAACACAATCTATTTTGTAATTCTTGTAAAAAAATTTCTTACATAATAATTCCTGGGAAATTATTTAAGACAAGTGAAATAGGGGAAGTAATCACTCTCTTAATATAAATATGTATATATCTACACATTTAATTAAAAATGTCAAAACAAATAAATAATTACTTTCGAATATGATGAAATTGTTTAACACTATTCGTGTTTACAAAATGTTTTTGTCTATAATCAAAATTTAATATATCGCCATCATAAATGCTTAAGTGTTACAGCATAATGAAAGTTTTTACAATCAGAGTTGGTATAAAACCACGCTTTTCGATAGAGTAGAAAAACATTCGGAATAACAGCCTACATTTAACTGTGCATCGGTGTTTTAGTTCAGATCATATATTTTTAATTAACTACTGCTTCTTTGTGTTCTTTAAAGATCATTTTTTAACATAGTGATAGGTGTTGGTTAGATCACTGTATTGATCACACACCTTTTTACTGGTAATTGCAAAAAAATATTCACAGAGTTTTACGTTTAAAAAGCTAATTTTCTGGCGGCATGGTACTTTGGTACATTTCTACGCGTTTTACTACATGTACTTAACAGATCAGTTCGGGGTGGGTTTGGGGGGGGGGGGGGTTCAACTTCATTCACCACTGTACGCCAGAGGCGTAGCGACACATTCCAGCGCCCGGGGCGAACTATCAATTTTTCGTCCTCTCCCCCTTCCATTTATATACAGGCTATATAAAGTTATGCATGCTGGTCCTACCGATTTGGCGCCCCATTTGGGTCGGCGCCCGGGGCGGCCGCCCCACCCGCCCTCCCATAGCTACGCCTCTGCTGTACGGTCACTTTAGGTCAATTATCCAACCCAGTGAATACCTAGGTGTGACATTAATGTCGCTCTACACAATTGTGGTGGTGAGGTGTGGGGGGGGGGGGGGATAACCAACTCAGAGTTAACATAGCGTCAGTTTTTAGATGACTGTTCTAAATATACACATATATTACATAAATATATTTTACATGAATATATATTACAGAAATAGATTTAAATAAGTAGCAGTGGTTTTTAAATATTATGACAATATTTTTTTTACAGAGGGGTCCATGGGGGAGGGGGTTGTAACTGTTTCATATCATTTGTAATCGTAATCACTATCGCCCATACTGTAAGAATACTACTACTTCATCGTGATGAAGTTGTTGTCCTTGTCAAAATTTCCCCACCTCTACGCAGTTTGCTCATAAGTAAATTTAAAAATAATAATATTAATAAATATTTTTGGTCGGCACGACCAAAAATATTTTTTTTAAAAATATCATTGTTTAAATCGTTGAGATTAAAAAGTTTCCAAAAAGGCGCCACTTTGCTGAAAATGGCCAGAGGGGGAGCGGCCGCTCCCCCTGCTCCCCCCCTGCGTACGCTACTGCCACTCATCTTTGATGGGTACCTAACTCACTTTAATGAAGGAAGGGGTGAAGGAAGTCAAGTAAAAACACAAGTTACATTTACCAAAATAGAAAATAGTGTAGTGGAGACAGGTTGCATTTTCTGACTGTAAATGGTGGCTTAGGGTTAGGTTTAAATTTAAGGTTATGATCCAGATTCATTTTAGGTCACTATTTATACAAAGTTTTGATCGGGTACCTGCCTACTAAAATATAATCTCCTTTAGAAAAGAAGTTCTTGATGAGTAACAGCACTGTAATTCAGATTTAGAAGTAATGTTTGAGTAGCACATTTTAAAATATTTAAACAATTTATTTACATCTATGTGTTTAAGATTATGGAGGAATAAAAGAGGAAGATTTATTAGAAAGGTCACAAGTTGTTCTCTGTTGGATAAAATTGTTTTAAAGCATGCAATTTCTGGCATTGAGGTGACTTTTGTTTCATCCCTCGAGTGTAGTGTTAATATTTATACATTTAAAACGGCTTGCTATGAGGTTGAGAACATACATTTATTAAAAAGTTTTTGTATTTATTTTATTGTTTTAAGTTAGAGTATTTAAACCAGTGGTTCCCAACCTTTTTCGAATGGCGACCCCCTTTTATAAAAATTAAGTGATCAGCGACCCCCATAGAATTAAAAAGCCGAAATTAGTATGGAATTTAACAAACACTAAAATAACATTTTCTAGTAGACTTTCAATATGAACTACTCTTGATAACTGTTTTAATACCATGAGTAAAATTGCATACTATTCACTAAACATTCGTGGTTAATTTTTTTTAAGCATTTTTTTTTTTGTAAACGAAAATCTATTCTCGAAAAGTTAATCAAGTTTACGATTGGGTATGAATGATAAATACTACACCAAAATTGAGTGTGCAGTTTTTTATCTTACGCGGAATCATTCTACAAATCAAATAATTCCTCTTGTAATTCATCGTGAATGCTGGCAACATCGAGGGCAGAGTTTCTTCCAGGCATCTCTTCGGGGGGGGCAAAGCCCCCCCGAAAATTTTTTACCGCCCCCCCCCCCCCCCGAAGGAAATGAAATTTATATAATTTATATAGAAAATATATACTTTTAACAGTGTCCGCCCCCCCCCCCCCCGAAGAAAGTCTACCGCCCCCCCCCGAAAATTTCAAGTGCCCCCCCGGAGAAAAAAGTCTGGAAGAAACACTGATCGAGGGAAGAAGAGAATGGGTAATGCGTCAATGCAGATTCTTTTTTTTTTCAGCTCAGAGAAATAGCGCTGCAGTTCGTTTTCACTTGATTCAAGATGCCCAGAAATTTCTTCTTTCAAAATTTTCATTTTCTCACAATTAGAT